CCTTCAAGGCTCAGGGGTCCAAGATTATCTTCTGTGTCTGTGTTAATTGTTTTCCCTTTTCTTTGTTGAAGAGGGTCTGTGCAGTCTTTCTGCCTAGTCCGCCATCTTGCCGGAACTGCTGGTACAACCACTCTGAAGAACAAGAGTATCTAATAAAATTGAAAATGCATATATTCTATGACCCAGCAATTTCTTTCATATAGTAAGTTTTGTAAATTAGATTGATTTGTTTCCTTTTAGAGAGCAGAACTGAAATAAGTAAGTAGATTAAAAACACACACACCTATACTCACTCCTACTTACTTACATATATATCTCCACCCACAACTATACAGCAAGTATTGAGTGTGTAGTATGTATAGTGCACTGATCCAGGTGCGGGGGTACAGCAGTAAATTAAGCAGATGAAAAACATTGTCTTATGGAGCTTACGTGGTGGTGGGATGGATATGTACTTTGGGGAAGTTCCTACATCTTCATAAGAGATATGTGCAGAATGCTAATTAGAGCTTTTTGCAACAGAGAAAATTGGGAAATGATATGCATCAGCATGAAGAAAGAAGTAAATTGTGCCTTTGTTCAGTGAAATGCTACTCAACAGTTTAAATGAACTTGAACTTGTGTGTGTCAATGGGGATACATCTACAGTTATAATGTTGAGTGAAATTATGGAATGAGGGGTGTAGTATGATACCATTTATATAAAAGTTTAAGAATATTCAAGACATTATAATAAAGTATAAAGTTATGCTTTATGATAAATACCAAAGTCAGATTTTTTCTTAACCTCTTAGGAGAGAGAGAAGATCAGAAATGGGTACATAGAAGTTTCACCTTCATTCAGAATGTTTTATTTCTAAATATGATTTCAAGCAAATACAGTAAGATAAAGGTTTTGATGTAATTGTGTGGTAGGTGCATGGTGTTCTGTGTGCCTGAAATATTTCATAAGAAACAGTTTTAAAGTGAAGCATGCAGTCTTATGAGATCCTGAGATTTCAGTCTACTAGTCTTCAAGCAGAGGCTAGGAGAGGAATTGTATATAGCATTGGCTTTTAGAGAGCCATATGGTTCCAGGAAACTTTATAAGACAGTTCTCCTCTGTTCTGTAGGGTCACTATGAGTTGGAATCGACTCCATAGCAGTAAGTTTAGTTTTTTTGGGGGGGTCTCGAGGGTAGTGCTTAAGAGGGTGGAGGCAAGGAGAGTTGATCAGGCTCATCACCACTATTTCAGCTAATATACTTCTGTTTATCTGCTTTATTTATTGATGCTAAGATTTTGTTTGAAGAACTCTATTTTTTTTTTTTTTTTCTGAAATCTGAACATACCTTTTTTTTTTAAATTTTATTGTGATTTGGGTGAAAGTTTACAGGGCAAATTCATCTTCCATACAGTAGTAGTTCACATAAACTTTGTCTCATGACATTGACTGCAATTTCCCACCATGCAAAAGCTCTCCTCCCACTTCCTCCCCATAGTTACCTCTTCCCTGTGTCCTTCCCTCCCATGCACTCCTGGCCCCCAAGCTGTCTCCTTGTACATACACAGCCCATCTATTCTCCCATGTAAAATCTGAACATAACTTGTAGACGAGACTGTTGTTTGGTTAGTTAGATTGATTGATAGTATAGCTCCTGTTAGTCTTATAGTTTTAGTGACTTTTGTCCCCGCGCCCCCCCCCCCCCCCAGTATCTAAAGTGATTACGGTTCCCTCAGTGGTGCAAATGGAACCAAAAAGGTTGGAGGGTCAAGTCTACTCAGAGGGACCTTGAAAGAAAGGCTTGGCTATCTACTTATGAAAAATCAGCCGTTGAAATTCTGTAGAGCCCAGTTCTACTCTGATACATGAGTGTGCTGTGAGGCAGAATTGACTCCATGGCAACTTTATTTTTAAAAGAGATTATACCAAAAAAAGAAAAGAAAAGAAAAAAAAAAATTACCAAATTCATTGCTGTTGAGTCAGTCCTGACTCAAAGCAACCTCTCCTTGGGTTTCTGAAGCAGTATCTGTGTGGAAGTAGATTGCCCAGTCTTCCTTCCGAGAAGTGGCTGGTGTATTTGAACCACCAGCCTTCTGGTTAGCAGTCAAATGCCTTAGGTACTATGCCACCAGAGCTCCTAAAAGACATTATTAAGCATGCTAATTATATGTGTTTGTGAGATTTATAAATGTTAAGGTGAGTTTTCAGTGAATGCTAGATATTTACTGTATATTATCTTGATAGCAAAATATTTTTTACTTCATATTCCTGATTTTTAGTTACTTTATGATTTTACTTACATATGTTTCTGTATTTAAAAGGCTATAGTAATTCTTGTTTCTCTTTATTTATATGTTTTTTATCCATAGTATGAAATTAATCTTTTGGGGCTCATCCAGAGAAGAAGAACAGTAAGTAGATAATTTCCTGGAAGTTGAAGGAAATGAATAGAAGTAAGCAATGTGGCTCTATAGCTGGAATTTAGGACTGGGAGGCAGGTGGCCATGATAAATTGTGTGGTGACATACCTATAATGGCTGCTTGTAATTATTTGCTTCCTCTATCCTGACTGTTTAATGATAAAGAAGGAATGTTGCTTCAGATAAATGTGGTTAAACTGAGGCTTTGGTTTTTATTCCCCTTTTAGCGCATTGGGTATTCATTTAAGAAAGATGAGGTTGAGAATTCTATCGTACGACGAGTGCAAGGTGTCTTCCGACGTGCTTCAGCAAAGTGGAAGGTTAGTTACCAGCATGTCCTTAACCACAAGAGATGTGATGGTGTGTGTTTTATGACTTACACATTCAAATGCATTGTTCTATATTCTTGGGCGTTTTAGTTCTCATCTTAGTGATGGTATCATTGCTTAAAACATTTTGAGACAGTTAACAAACCACTAAGAAAATTGATCTCACTACCTTGTAATTAGGAGCTCTGGTAGCATAGTGGCTAAGACACTTGACTGCTAACCAGAAGGCTGGCGGTTCAAACCCACCAGCCACTCCTTGGAAGGAAGATGGGGCAATCTACTTCCGTAGCGATACTGCCTTGGAAACCCAAGGAGGGGTTGCTATGAGTTGGGTCCGAATCAACGGCACATAACAACAACAACAACCACCTTATAATTATTCTGTGAAGATGGTGCTGAAAACAGGGTATTTGATACATAATTGAGGATCAGAAAATTGGGAGATGTTTAGATCATATTTCTAAATAAGGTACACTAAAGAGTAGAGAGGGTTGCAGTTTGGGCATGTGAGATAAATGTAGAGGCAGCTCTGCAGTACCTTGATTCTGTTCAAGTTTGGCTCTAGGGCTGGTCGTATTATATGAAATGCTTATATGTGCTCTGCATTTCTGGGAATGGCAATTTTTGCCACCTCCCCATGAGACCATTAAGAATTTCATTGAACAAATTGGATAACTGTTTTGAGTATAGTGGGAGGGTGTGGAGGGAATGAATTTGAGTTATCATGGCTAAGAGATCCAAGGGCTCAGTGAAGAGGAGCCTAATAGGCTGAGGGGTGTGGTAACAAATTGGATTTTGAGATATGCCTTTGTTTCTAACAGAGTTAATTGATGCAAAGAGATATGTGTGTGTGTGTATACATATATATGTAACTGAAATTCGGGCAGCTCACTGCATTGCTTTTCTTCTTGCAGGATGATGTTCAACTTTGGCTGTCCTACGTAGTGTTCTGTAAGAAATGGGTGAGTATTGGGGAGCCACGTCTTGCTCCTTCTTTTCTTTCAGTTTGCCTGCCTTTAAAGTTGAACTCTGTGTTTTCTCCAAAACTGTAGAGGTAAGTGGTTTTCTCCAAAGGTCTAGAGATACGAAAAAGAATTGTAGAAGACTGAACTTCAGTGTAATAGCATTTGTGTATCTGAATGACTATTTTTATAAATAAGTTCCATGTCAGTTGAAAAGAAAGTGATTGTTAATGTGTATTTGTTCAGTAACGTTGAGCTATATTTAGAATGCTTATGTTAAGTGGTTTAGGTAGAAGAAAACCATGGTTGTGTCTGTTTGTTGCTACGTCACCAGCAACAGCAGCTCTCACTCCACTGAATTTTATGGTTGGTGAGGATACAGTGTAGATTAAAGATTAATAACAATGATTTCACTGTGCAGAAAGTAGAAAGTTTTCTTCCTCTTTATTCCAGGCTACCAAAGTTCAACTTAGCAAGGTATTTTCTGCCATGTTGGCCATTCATTCAAACAAGCCAGGTATGGTGAAATCTTTGTCTTTTTTTTTTTTTTCCCCCCTTAAACTTTATTTATAGTTAAGCATTTTGGAATTTATTTTAATTATAACTCTAAGAGGAATTGTTTGGGGAACTTGAGCTTAGGCAGTTGGCTAACAGTTTCTGTTGCATGAATAGCTAGCTTTCTATTAGTTCATTCCTGCCTAGTGTATGCTAGTTAAGGAGCTCTGGTAACTTAGTAACTAAGGAATCTGACTGCTAACCAGAGGTTGGTGATTTGAACCCATCAACCACTCTGCGGAAGCAAGACTGGGCAATCTACTTCTGTAAAGATTTACTGCCTCAACCCCAACAGGAGTTGCTATGAGTTGGAATCAACTCAGTGGCAGTGGATTTGGTTTTGGTTTTTGGTATGCTAGTTACTGTGCCAGGTATATCTGAAAAACTGTTTTTTTTTTTTTTAGTTGATGGTAAGAGTCTTTGGTACTTTGAGGAACTGTCTATTTGGAAGCAGACAAATCTGAGGTTTTAAAAACTTGAAGGGAAAAACACTAATACAGATTTTAGAACAGTATCTGGTGCAGAGTAGGTACTCGGGTTTTGCAGGGGAAAGATTGAGTTCTCAGGGTGTATATGTCTCAACCAGACATGTCATACTGCACAGACTACATTGGCCCCGTTTACTGAGAAGGATGTAGCAGGACAGCGTGTTCAGGGTGTTCTTCAGCAGACTCCTTCTAGCAGTTGGGGACTGGTCTCTGGCCTTCTAGGTGGCAGTTCAGTTTTGGGGGACAATACCCCCATGAGTGGGTGGGAAAGCCCCATGGATGGGCAGAGCTTCCCAGGGTCCTAGCAAGAACCATGCTCAGTTTCAGGAGTCACACGCTCAAGAAAGCCCAGAGCAGTGGCTCTGCACCGTTCACAGCCCTCTTCGCCCAGATGTGGTACCAGCCATGGGTCATTTTCAGTGTAAGCAATCCTGCATAATAACATAGCTGACCTTTATTAAATTTCTAGGGAATTGGCAAGCATTTAACTCAAGGTTAAGTTCCCATGTAGAAGACAAAGAATTTTTATTTTTATGTCTTTATTTCTAGCAGGTACAATTAAAAGTTTGCCTGTTAACTTATGAACTATTTCAAATAGAGAAAAGACAGAAAAGCTGTTTAAAGTAGAGAAAAAAAAAATAATCATCTTTCATTGATCCTAAGACATATTTTTTTCTGGCATTTTCACAACTTTAATATTTGTATTTGACTTAAAATGGTTGTGTTCTTATATTCCAAGAAACACATCAGCAGACACTTACATACCCTTCATCCAGATTGAACAGATAGTAAAATTTACCTATTTGCTTCTAAATGCTTTTTCTAGTGCTAGTCTTTTACAGGTAAAGTCTTTTACAGGTAGCCATTAGTGCCTTTCTCTGTGTCCCCTTCTTTAAGACTTTTTGAAAAGTCCTTTGAGTATTAAAATTGGAGCATTGGTCTTTTTTTGTTTAACTTAATTGTATTGATTGAAGTAAAGTTTTATGCTTTTCTTCCTTTATAGCTTTGTGGATTATGGCAGCCAAATGGGAGATGGAAGATCGCTTGTCTTCAGAAAGTGCCAGACAACTATTTCTTCGGGCTCTGCGCTTTCACCCAGAGTGTCCAAAACTTTATCAAGAAGTAAGTATGTGTGCATGGGATGAAAGAGTGATGTCTCAGTTTGGTTCTCTGGAGACATATCCTTTATTAAGTTAGCTAAGTTAAAGAAGACTTCCGTTTATAGAGGCTAGGGATAAGTGTATGTGGGAGCCTTTTGGGGGAAATGGGGCCAGAAGGGTGAGGAAAATGTCTTTATATTTTGACAGTGAACAGCTTCCAGGTTGTTAGAGGCTAGAATCCCCATCTACCCACTAGGGTTGGGAGGAATAGGTACTGAACCCCACTTTTTATTTAGAAGGGGGTCCAGAGCTCAGAATAAATAATTGGATCTTGGGAAGTTTGTATTTTAGTTTGTTATAAAACTAGCTTACAATAACAAGGTGTGATGAAAATGATATATTATGCTCTTTATTTTTCTTTTCTTATTTCATGTTTCTTTTGTTGTTGTTGTTATTTACCATTGAGTCGGACCCGACTCATAGCAACCCCTCCTTGGGTTTCGAGGCAGTATCACTATGGAAGTAGATTGCCCAGCCTTGCTTCTAAGGAGTGGCTGTTGGGTTTGAACTGCCAGCCTTCTGGCCTTAGGCACTACGCCACCAGAGCGCCCATGTTTCTTTTAGTCTTCTTTTTTCTTCACCTCTTTGTTCTCTTTCTGTTTCTTTTTCCTGAGATGGGTACCCTGTTAGTACTTCCTTACTCTCTTGTGGAATTTATTTCTTGCAGGAGAGGTGTTTTAAAATATTAATGGCTAGACTCTTGAGAGAAAAATAAATGGTAATAATGGTATGTTTTTGGAAACTGTACGCTTTTCTGAGGCATTTCTCAGGATAAGGGAGAAATTGCTATTTAGTCCTCAAATGAAAAGTAAGCCTTGTATAAGGAGAGGAAAAAGAAAAGTCTTTATGCTAATAGGTTTTATAGAAGTTCCATCTATATTTTTGGTTTTATAGTAATTAATGATGTTTTTATATTACAGCCTTATATTTCTTCCCTTCTTTTCATACTCTGTTAGCTGTCCCTTTTCTGCCTTTATTACTTTTACTGAGAAACTACTGTCAGAAGCAGTCCTCTCTGCTGGTGGAGGGTTATTGTGTACTGTCATTATTTATATGCTTTTGGAGGCTCTCGTAAATGCCCATACTTGTATTTTCTAAAATGGAAATAGACTTGTTGCCTATTCTTACCAAAAAGGTAAGTGATAAATTTGTTTCTTATAGACAGAGAAAACACTTGTATCAGAAAATAACCAAAAAAATACTTAATAGTCTTACCACCTGTATTTTTATGCGTATTGTAAACACTTAACAATGTAGATTTCATTTCTTTAAAATGGCATTATTCTACATACTGTGTTCTGCATTTTTATATATATTTCAGTTACATATTAGTGTATATTTATCTACATCAGTGGTATTCAGACTTTTTGATATTAGGACCCCTTTCCATCTTAAATATTACCAAGAATCCAAAGAGCTTTTGTTTATATGGGTATGTCTATTAATTTTAATTGTATTAGAAATGAAAGCAGAGGAGTTAAAAATTTGTATGTATTAATTCATTTAAGAAAAACAATAAATACATTACAAATAACCTGATGAACTCCTAGAGCTCCTGAGGGAGTGTCAGGGACCCCCAGGTATCTCCAGCCTTCATTTTGAGAGCCTTTCATCCACATTATCTGTTTTCATAGCTGCGTTTTGTAAAAAAGAAAAAAAAAATGAAGATTGCTTTTTATTGTATATTACAGAAGTAAAATGTGCTTGTAGAAAACTGGAGAACAAAATCAGAAAAGGGAAAGCACAGAGAAGGAAAGGGATAATGGACTGAGAACAAGCAGCATTAACACTGCAGTGTTTCCTCACAGAGCTTTTCTCTGTGTGTGTTTTGCACGTAGTGGTAATAGTGTTATATGTACATTTTTGTAGCTAGCTTTAAAATAGGGAGAGTAACAGAATTGTGGTGCACCATTACCATATTTTTCTAACTATTTTATGCCTGTATCAGCAGTCACTCGTCCTGTTGTTGGGCATTTAGATTATTGGCAATATTTGCTCTTACACTTTTGTTTATGAAGCTTTGAGGTATTGCGGATTATTTCTTACGATAGATTGCTAGGAATAGAATTACTAGTTTAAAGAGTATAAACTTTTGAAGCTGTTTTCTTTTTTAAAATTTTGTTGTTGTTGTTGTTGAGAATATACACAGCAAAAACATAGGCCAATTCAAGTTTCTACGTGTACCATTCATTGACACTGACTACATCCTTGGATTGTGCCGTATCCTCATCCTCCCCAATTAACAGAAACTTCCTGCCTCCTAAGGCTCCTATCTAACCTTTTTGAGTTGCTTTTGTCAGTTTGATCCCGTATAGCTAGATCTTAAAATAGCAAAATGCTCAAGCAGACATTCTTTGCTAGCTAAACTAAACTATTGTTTGCTTTTACGAAGACTTAAGGGGATATTTTTGTTTAAGGTAATTACCTCAGGATAATATTTCAAGAGTTCATCCAGCCTCTATTGCTCCAGAAAGTATTGATTCCGTGAGAATTTGAAATTATGTTCTGTATTTTCCCCCTTTTGATCAGGATTCTTCTATATAATCTTTAATCAAAATGTTTAGTTATGGTATCCAGGCACCATCCAGTTCTTCTGATCTCATGGCAAAGAGGCAGTTTTTCATGGAGGCAATTAACTATATACTGTATTTCCTTCTATTTTTGACTTTCCTTCTCTGTTGCTGTAGACAAATATAGACCAATTGTTGTGCCTTGGATGGCTACTTGAAAGCTTTTAAGCTCCCAGGAACTACACATTGAGCTAGGAGGTAGAACAGAGCATTAACATGTATGTTATTGGGCCAGTTAACTGGGATAGCCAAGAAACCACGACCCTAAACCTTCAAACCAAGGAACCACAAATCCCATTAGGTGTTTGCTTATATATAATCAGTCACTTCAGTTTCTCTTAATTTTTTAAGATTTTGATTCATGTCTCCAAAGGTCTTGCCAAAAGAGCATAATATAGTATCATTTTCATCACACCTTGTCATTGTCAGCTAGTTTCGTAAGAAACTAAAACACCACTTCCAAAGATCCAGTATTTATGTGTTAAAAAAGTGATATGTTACATAGTTATGATAAAAAATTCTCCAAAGATTTTCAGTTCATTATTTCTCATCTGTAGTACTTTAGGATGGAGTTGATGCATGCTGAGAAACTGAGGAAGGAAAAGCAAGAATTTGAAAAAGCCAAAATGGAAGTGGTAAGAGCTTAATGTATTGTTACTTGTTATCAATAGGTAGTATTTTGACCTGTTTAGAAGTAAAAAAAAAAAAAGAAAAAAGTTTTTGGAATGTGTTATACTATATTCTGAAACTTTAAGATGAGTCTAGAGTTGATTTATTTAAATGTGTTTAGTTATAAAAATAGGCATTTGAACTAACTTAAGTGACCTGAAAAATGACTGTTGATAGAATGGCCAAAAGTCACTTTTGCTAGTTTATGATATCATTGTACTTTAATGGATTGAAGGAGACCTCAGAAGATTGTGAAGTGTGTGGCTCCTAGCCTTCTTTCTTCTCCTTTTTATGTAATTTTTTTTGTGTGTGTAAGAGAATAATTAATGAAAGTTGTAAAATGTTTGAATTTTGATGTCATCATTTGTCATAATGATGTTTAGCTCAGAACTGCTTTTTTCCAAATAAAATCTTACAGAAAAGGATAGAGAAGGTACGTAAGACTTGATCTATTCTGATCTCAATAAGGAGGGAGGCCTTAAGGCCTATGATCCTGTGCCCACTCCAAAAGTCTGAGGGAACAGTTTCAAGATTAGTCATCTTATTCAAGCTGCACACTTTACAAGTGAGGGAACTGGCCAATAAATGAGATGTTATTTACCAGAGGTCACATGGCACAAGTAGTTTAGGGCTGTTAATTTTCATGGTAGGGGTCTTTCTACTTAACAGCATTGCCCATTGAGTTATGTTCAATATAACACTCCTTAGGAGAATCTTGATTATGCAGAAGAAATCCTTAATGGTGAATTGGCACGAATTGTCTACAAAAACTCTGTGAGCATAATTAAAGGTAAGTATCTTTTGAAAGCTGAATATAGTGATGTTTATAATGAGAAAGACTTTAGGTAATAGGAAAATTTTTTCATTAGAATATATGTAATGCTCTGAATGCAGAAATGGCATCCTGTTTCTTTTATAAAAGATGTATTTTCCATTAGGATATAATTGGCATTTCAGTTTTTATTTTTGCAGTATTTCCTCCTGAATTTCAGTTTTTATTGAATCCTTAAACTTATGTGGGGAGTTGAAAAGAAGTAGATGATTCAGTACATTCTCTTATGCCCTTAAGAAGATTAGAATAAAGAAAGTTAGAATATTACAAAATATTAATAATTTCTTTGTTTATGTGGTGGGACTATAGGTGACCCCCCCATTTTTTAGTATTTTCCAATTTAAAAGACCCTAAAATTTAACTCTAGTACATTAAGAAAATGATGCTTATAAAGTGATTCTTAGAATCTTATTGGCAATGAACCTCCCCTCCCTTGCTGTTTAATTTTAGGTGCAGAATTTCACGTGTCATTGCTTTCAATTGCACAGCTATTTGATTTTGCCAAAGATTTGCAAAAAGAAATCTATGATGAGTAAGTAAAATTGTGAAAGGTGACTATATTTCTCATCTTGTGATTGATTTATTTAAGGGTTTGAGATTCATGTTTAGGAGGAGAATAGCAGATGCCACACTAAATCGTTGGAAGAAAAGTTAAATATCACCTAAAAAAAGATGTTCCTGGAGAAGATGTCTGATTCATTCATTGGTTCCCTTGGAGAATAGTTTGTTTTCATTCAGTACCAGATATATTCTAAGACTCACATAAAACTACGTCCTGCTTTCTTGGCATATCTTTTGTCAGTAAAATGAGTGATACTCATGGATATTTATAGGTGCATGCAGCAGGTAATGTTACATAGGGAATTACCTGCAGCCTGCCTTTTGGGCACTTCACACCTGTAGCACCTCACTTTGACAGGCAATAAAATAGAACTTGGATAAGTTTGCTCTTTGAATATCTTTCAGGGTTTCAGTAGACAATTAGGTTGATACTTAGGCTTTTCTGTGCTTTGATTCTTGCCTGCATATAACACTAAGGCCCCAGGACTCAGGAAAGCGTGTCTCGTCACATATAACTGCTGATTTGACTTTCAGCCGTTTGATCGCTTGAAAGTTGACATTTGTGAATGATGTGTGAAACATTCTGAAACTCAGTGAATGTGTGACAGCTCTGATCCATTGATAAAATTCATCTGGACACCTGTTGGGAAATGGCTCTGGTGGTACTGAAATTGTTAAAGAGGTGTTCTAGGTACATTATTAGAGCGTAGAGGAATGCGTCTATATTTGGTGTTAGAGGTGAGTCTCTTGTCATAGGGCAGGTGCCAGTAAGTGTATTTTTTAGCCTTCAGGTGCTACACACAGATGACCATTTCACTTGGGATTATGTGGCACGGCGAGAATTAGAGATTGAGCCCCAGCCAGGAGAAGAGCAGCCTGTAACGAAACAAGCCAAAGCAGTGTGTGTGGACCGGAAGGAGGAGAGGTGCTGTGCTGTATATGAAGAGGCAGTGAAGACTCTGCCTACAGGTGAATTTGACCAAAACCGAAACAACGCACTTGGATTGTGGAACTGAAGCTCCTATTCTCGTGACCAACATCAGCATCAGGACTCTTTCTGTAGTATATAGTGTGCCTGACTTTCCACATTGTTCTTTCTCTGATGCTGAAAGGTAGAACTGAAATGAGAACTTAAGAAATGATAGCTAAGGTTTCTTAATTATCTTTTGATATTAATTTAATTTTTATTTTGTAATATTGGAAAATACAGGCAAAGTGGGTAAGGCTTATTAATATGGGAGCACTCTTAATTTTCATATTTATGTCACTAATGATTTGTCTTTCCGTAATATTTGAGACATTTGATTGGCTGTAATTGGAATAACTTTCATCACACTAAATTCTGCTTCAGAAGAATTTTCCTTTTTGAAGACAAGTATGTTGAATTTAGAGAATTGGTGATCTGATCTCCATTTTTTCTGACTTTTCTAGAGGCCATGTGGAAATGTTACATCAATTTTTGCTTGGAGAGATTTGCTAAGAAGACAAATAGTGAATTCCTCAGAGAGAAGGTAAGGACTTATGTTCCATGGTTACTATGGCTGACTAGAAGATGACCATGCTTTGGAAGAAGATGAGAAGCACAGCTTCTATCTGGTCGGGGACAGCTTCCTAGAATTCATGCTTAGCCACTTTTTTCCTCCTTGTGGGTGGCCTGTCATGCTAACGTTCTGAGTCTGGTTTGCCCTTGCACTGGCAACTAGGTTAGGAGAGGCTCTCTATACCAGGCTCTGCTTGGTGCACTTGCCCATTTCATCTGATCATAAGTCAAACCTTCATGGAGAAGTAACTCAGGAGTCCCTTTTCTCAATTCTCAGAAGTGTGTAAAACTGCTTTTGCTTTTGTTCATTGTCAGAGGCCAGAGGCCCCTGATGAAAATCTTTGTAATGGACTGAAAGATTTTTCTCATTTCAGAGGCTGGAAAGGACCATGATTGCATTCCGAAAGGCACATGAACTCAAGCGTCTGCCAGAATTCCAGTACAAGCAGTGGGTAAGGACATCGAGAACACATTCACTACATGTTAAATATACTTTCTTCCAGCTGCTTACTGCTGGTATCATGTATTTTGAATATATATGGTTATAGCTGTTTTTGTCAAGTTGATTCCAGCTCATACCAACCCCACACAAGCAGGTAGAACTCCGCCATAGGGTTTCTAAGGCTGTAATTTTTATGAAAGCAGACTGCCACATCTTTCATCTGTAGAGTGGCTGATGAGTTTATACTCCCGACCTTTCCGCTAGCAGCCAGATGCTTTTAACCACTGTGCTACCTGGGCTGCTTCATACAGTTACGTAACTAAGCCTGTTCAGCTGTTGATAAGGTAAATACAGAGAGAGTTTCTATTTCGCTGTTTATTTATATTTATTTATATTTACATATAGTTATATTTGTTTATATATCTCTGTATATCTCACTCACTGCCATCTAGTTGATTCCGACTCATAGTGATTCCCTTTAGGTTTCTGAGGCTGTAAATCTTTATGGCAGTAGATTGGCCAGTCTTCTTTCCATAGAGTGGCTGGTGGGTTTGAACTGCCAACCTTCTGGTTAGCCGTCAAATGCCTTAGGCATTATGCCACCAGAGCTCCTTATATTTTTATGTGTGTGTTTGTGTAAATATATTTGATATTTGCTAAAAATGAAATCCCTGTCAGTAAAGGGAACAATATACTAATGGGAAAGAATCAGAACAAAGATTCACAATCTGGGTTTATTTTGTTTGTCTACCCATCTGTCATTCACATCCTTTTCCTAAAGGCTAGCCCAGATTAACCTGGCTCAGATTAACCACTGGTACAGTAAAGAGAAGTTAGATGGGTTCCTGTATTTCAGAAGTTGAGTTCTAGTAAGAGGCATACTAAACCATTGTTACCCTGTGGTGTGGGTAAGGACTATTGCAGAGATCAGAATAATGTGCTGTGGAAATAACAGTTCTGGACTAGATTTTTGTATTTTATAGGTGACAGGCAAATCATTTTACCGTTTTGTGTTTATTTACTTGGTTTTAAAACAGTGATAATAATCCTTGTCTTTGCCACCTCACAAAGTCTTGAGAAGATTACATGAGGTGATGAATGTGTTAATGTATTTAAATACCTTCATGGGGGAAAAGAAAGGACAAATTTTTTTTATTTGTTGAGTACTTTCTGTTTGTATAATTCTTGCCTCTTGATCTATATTATGTAAGTTTTACATAATTGCAATTGATATCTTGCTATTTGATGTTTACATTAACATTTTTTCTCATACTTTTGCATGTATTTTTATAATGCATATGCTGTATGGTAACTTATTATATTATTATACCAAGACTGAGTCACCCATGTCCCATTGTGGCATCTGTCTGGGAAAATCCCAGGCCTGGATGAATTCAACTGCTCTTACTTGAACTATTGAATACTGCCAAGACAGTTGCACTCTATAAATTCAGTTTGGTTTTAAGTGTTGCCTGGCAGTCCTGCCTTTCCATTATTACCATGCTTTTGCCGTTCACCACTAGCAAAACATGTTTCAAACATCGTACAGTCCTCAAATCTCAGATGCTGCCTTTCTTTACCACCTCATCATTCATTTGGTAACCTAGCTTTTGTTTACTTATTTATTGTAAAAATGTATATAGCATAGCATTTGCTTGTTTAACATTTTTCATGTGTACAGCTTGGTAACGTTGATTACGTTAATCATCTTGTGAAGCAGTTACCATTATCTATTTTCAGATTTCCCATCACCATAAACAAACTCATGGCTTCCTAAACAATGACTCTTCTCCCTTCTACCCACCCCTGGTAACACTAATGAACTTTGGTCTCTATACATTTTCCTAGTCAAGCTATTTCATATGAGTGAGATCATTGAGATTGATTTTTCTCAGCATAATGTTTTCAGTGTTCATTCATGTTGTAGCATGTTCGGGACTTCATTTCTCTTTATGACTAAGTACTATTCCATTATATCTATATTGTCACATTTAGTTTATCCGTTCATCTGTTGATGGACATTTCAGTTGTTTCTACCTTTTGGCTATTTGTGAATAGTGCTTCAGTGAACATTGGTGTACATGTGTCTGTTTATGTTGTTGTTTTCAAGTCTGATGACCTTGCTTTTAATGAAAGTCCTTTAACTTAGTGCCTCTAAACTTAAAAGCTTAGCTGATCTTACACTCTTTCTTTTTCCTGATTATTCTTTTTTTTTTTTAGGATTTGGGTGAAGATTTACAGAGTAAATTCACTTTTCATACAGCAGTTCACATATACTTTGTCTCA